CAGAGCAGTACCAATCACAGAAACCTAGGCAGAGAGTAAGGTGCTGTGGGCCAAGCGGTCAGCAGGAGGGATGGAAGCAGGAGAGTGGCTGGGATGCAGCGCAGGGGTCAGTGGCTGGAGTTGAGGGAGACTCGAGGATTAATTCACTCCACAATTCCAAGGTGTGTAACGGTCAATTCACATCTGCAAGTAGGCCTGATAGTACTTGTTTGAAACACCTGGATGAGGTAGCTCTGGACACCAGACCTCTTGGGAAATCTAGACAGTTCCAGGAAACCCTCTGGAGGAGGTCAGGCTTCTGGAAAACACAAGGTGTGTGCTGCACTCTCCCTTCCCACTGGGTACCTGAAATCTTGCAATGCAATAGCCTTTATGTCGGAGAAGGAAGCAGCAGGGTAGGAGACAAGGAGGAGGGAATACAAAAGGCTGACTGTTTCAGATCATGGCTATGGTGTGGGGCAGGGCACTTGGAGGATGAGTAATGCAGACACTGCCTTTAAAGGTGTTTTGGGGGAAACCCAGTCACATCAGGGACTCCTGTCATTAAGATTTGTGCATAGTCCTTTGCTTGTCCAGGCTCACACTGTAAGAGGACTTGAGAGACTTTTTCTTCTTCACCTGACAGCAGGATTTTGGGGCTGCTGCTATTCTTCAAGCCTAGACTTACACCTCTCCAACTCCTGACTCTCAGGTCCTCATGGTACTGCCAGTATTTGGACACTGTCAGCAAATCATTTCCTAACCATCTCTTCTCCTAAGGTATTCAAGCTGACTATGGTTTCATTTTTGCCTTCTCATTAGAGACAAATATATTCACTAGTCTATCAAAATACAGATCTTGTGAAGTGATGCTGAGGACCACTGTAGCCCAGCCTATTGCTAGCTCTAACAGTGATGTGATATTGTGAGAATCTGTTAAGGATGAGAAAGTCTCCCTGACTTAATCTTCCTGCCACTCACTCCAGCCATTAGCTATTTCTTAAGGTCTCAAGAAAAGAAAAATGGCCAAGTAGTTCAGATCAAAGTTTTCCTTGTGTTGAAGAAAGCATATGAACAACCAAGAGTATGTTAAATACTGCTTCCTCTGAAAAACCTTTAGGATGCCAGAGCCAGCAATATGACGATAGTATGTGTTTGGTTTTTGTCAGGACAGCCAGAGGGCAGAGGACATAAATATAAAAATAATTTAACTATTCTTTGATAAAAATATCAAAATTTAACTATTCTTTGATAAAAATATCAAATTCCCTAAAGAAACCAGAACTGCCACCCAAGTAGATATATGTTCACCCATGTTTACTGCAGCTTTGTTCATAACAGCAAAGACTTGGAAACAACCCAAGTGCCCGTCAACAAATGAATGGATAGAGAAGCTTTGGTATATTCAAACAATGGAATACTATGCTGTGTTGAAAAACAAGGAACTCATGAAATATTATACAATATGGGGGACCCTGGAGGACACACAAAAGGACAAATACTGCATAGTGCCACTGTTGTAAAGAGGGACTGACATTGGAGTTGGGGCACAACTAAGTGGGGATAAACAATGTATACTGCATTGAAAAAGATGAGGGAGAAACTGGTTTAGGAGGAATATATGATTAGATATTATTGTCATGACAAGAGTCGAGAATGAAAGCTGCATAGGGGAGTGGACTTGGGGGGGAGGGATTGCATAAAAATGAAAGTAGTTTATTTTTATTTTTTTTTTTTTACTTTTCAAAGAGAAAAGCAAACTGGGGGGGAGGGGTGTGCAGGGAGGAAAGTGTGCAACAATGAATGAATGGAAATCCAAAGTCTCTGTAAACTTTCATTAAAATAAAAAAAAAATCATTTCTGGGGGAAAAAAAGCTGTTCTAAAAATGTAAAAAAAAAAAAAATCAAACTAATTTTGTGTTCTACACTGTTATAATCAGCCTGTGCAGTAAGAGCAGTTTGTGACCAGCTGTTAAGCAAAAGGTTGGAGGGTCTGAATCCACTCAGTAACCCCACAAAAGAAAAGACCCAGTAGAGATGTGTTTCTATAGACTATGCCAAGAAAACCTGCTGGAGCTGTTCTGCTCTGAAGCACAGGGGTTCCCTGGGGAGTAGGGCCCATTCACCGATTGCCTACAGGTACAAGAATAGCATGAGATTAACAAAAAACACAATGTTTATTTTAATTTTTTATTAAAATATTTTTGTTTGTTTATAAAGAAAAGATCTTAATTCTGTGTGTTGTAGGTCATGTGAAACACAAACAAGCACTCTTAGGAATGCAGATGAGAATTTAAGAATTTCATTGAGGCTTTCATAAAAAGAAACTTTAAAAATATGACTTACTTATATTTATATTTACTTATTTTTCCAGAAAACTTTTGGTTTCTCACCTCCATTCTGATACTAATCTCTGATTTAGAATTAATTGCTCAAATACCCTAACAGATTACAAATTTGTCTTCTGAAAAGTTTAGAAGTTACATTTCTAAATGAAGACTTCTCTTACAGTTTACTGCATCCTATGTAAACAATGACTAGGTTTAAATAATCATTTAACTTAGTACCACTTTTAAGAGCAGTTTCAGTAATCAGTAGATGTTATGGGAGAAAGAAAAACAACCAAAATATCTCCTGTACAGGAAATAATGTTTTTATGTTATAAAGAACCAGTCTTCGTAATAGCCACTGCTTAAAATGTAGTAGTTTGTTTTGTTTTTTTCAAAGCAGGGGTTGATCAGAAAATTAGTTTCAAATCAAAACTTTAACACAAAAGTAAACTGTGCATTGAGTCTATGTTTTGGTGAGGGTAAAGACTTCCCTAATATGATACTTTTATTTCTTTTCCCTTGTTGTCTACTGTTAAGTCAGACCCAGCTGGCACAGGAGATTGCCCTTCATTCTCCAGGGGAGCATCTGGTGCATTCGAATTGTGCACCTTCAGGATTACAGGGCAGCTTCTTGTCACTAGGCCACCAGCGCTCCCTTACAAGATACTTTTAAACTGGAAAAATGTTACTTAGAATCTAAAAACATTCTTGAACTAGACATGGGATCTAGATGACAGATGATACTATAATTCTGCCCTTCTTTCAACCCCTTTGTTAAATCATAAAAATTAAGCAAACTTTGAATATAAAATATATTAGATAATGTCTAATGGGAAATACAGAGGTTAAAAAAAAAATCCATTAAAACATTATGCTGTTTCCAGGTAGGAAAACAGAAACAAAACATTTTAGGATTTAATAATGAAGACCTAAAAAAGGGAAAAAAATGACAGCAAGAAAAAAGTTTGTTGATATATAAACAAGAAGCATGCTGTCAATAAAAAGGAAAAATTGCCATGACATTACTTTGCAAAAGAGCCAAGTGGAATTAAGCAGCTGACTGCAAATTCTTTTAAAGCTTTCTCTTTTCTAACGTTCAGAAAAGCTCTCAGCTTTGTAGAAGAGAGTTAAGAAAAGGTGCTAAGAGGGTAGTTAGTGTACTGGGGGGAGGGTTAGGAGGGGAGAAAAGTGCAAGAATGAATGAATGGAAATCCAAAGTCTCTCTAAATTTTCATTGACATTAATAAAAAATTTAAAAAAAGAAGAAAAGGTGCTAAAATGTTTTCAAGACATTTTAAAAGTACCTTATGTAAAAATAAGAAAAGAATACCCTTCTTCCTATTTAAAAATATCATAAGCTAACAGTCACACTTTCAGAAGCTAAACTATACTGTCTTCATTACAGTTATCTGTCAGAAGAAAAAGTATTGAGGCTTTAAATTTATAGTAGTTAACAGCATTATATATTAATGCCAATTACTACTTAGATAATGAGTAATAAAAAATGCATCCAAAAGCATCACCTATCTGTACATATTAAAATGTTTATGCAGATAATAGAGTATTCCTAGAAACATATTTGTAATTCAAGCATGCACTAGAGAAATTAGTAATTTTGTAAAGTTAAAGAGTCTCTGAAATATAAATACTTGTTTAAGATTGATGTTTGGAGACTGGAATTTTATTACCAGAAAGGGTGCACAGTGCTGCAGATTATCTTTATTGAAACTATATAAAAAGCTGACAATATATGAAGTAGTCTATTTGGAGACAACTGTTATCAAGAGCAGAATTTTCAGTTTCACAATCTTTACATTCCAGTCTGTAGTTACACTTGCTTCTAAGAACATTAGATCCAAACAGAAAAATAACATATTAAAAATTACATAATAAAAAAAATCATTAATGCCAACTGGTCTAAGTGTGTGTTTTCCATGATCATTTCAGCATTTTCAACCTTCCCCGGTCATAGCTGAGAATCCTCACTTAGTTCCGTGCTGTCACCTTTGAGTGTCTGGCTCTGTGAGCAGATGCATCTTCTCTCCTTGAGCACAACATGAGAGGGACTGGCAGGTACATGGGACATTAGTTATAGTCTGATTTGGCTGGCATTTCCCCTGCAGGTTGGTAATTAGGTGAGAAGAAGTGCACTGGCATGCCACCATGCACTCTGGCAGTTCCACAGGTGCACCCCAACATTCCTAAGGGTGTTTCCCCATGGCCATGTAAGCACTCTGTGCAAGGGGAGAAATGCTTTCTAAAGTTTTGTCAGTGTATGTATTTTATACATATGCTATGTCCTGCTATGTCACAGTTCTAAGGGGTAAAAACCTCCCCAGTGTCCTGGGTGCACACTGAGCAAATAAAACTTACTGGAATTCACTTCTGCTAAGACTTTCAAAGTCAGACTAGAAGGATTGCTAGGATGCTTATGTTTGAAGCTTCAGACCTTTCAAAAAATTCTACATGTGTTGGCTCCTCTGTGTGCTAAAGGAAAGGCTTTAATGCTATTGGGCAAAAAGGTCTATGAAAGTAGCTAAGATGGTGTAATTTAACAAGTAACTAGATTTGTTTTAAAAAAGTTTAAAAGTTATACATTCCACATGTTTAGATCATCTTGGCTTCACGCATTAACTTTTCCTACTATTTGTTGTTGTGTAAATGGCTTTGCTGTGCATTTCCTCCCCTCCTCTAAAACATGCAGTTCATGCACTTAACGGTCTTGCTGCCGTAGTCGATGCACTCGGGCCCAATGCACTCACAGCAGGCGTTGTGGAACCAGCGGTACTTGGAAGCCCCCATGGACTCACAAGAGATCTTGCATTGATGGATGGACATGCAGTCATCAAAGTAGACAACAGTGCACATACGCTCTGAAAAGCAAGCACAAGGACATGAGAGCAAGAAAGACAACAGAAAACGGCATCACTCTCCAGCTGCTTATTCATAGTCATTCCTCTTAGTCCTTTTATGCTGATCCACGTGGGACAAAGATGAGGTGAGAGAGAAAAAGATTCTGTTAGTGATTTAAGGAAGTCTACTATAGCTAAAGAACTCAAATGGCTTTCCAATCCTTTTTCAGTGTCACTAGATTTAGACTTTAATTTAAACGTTAGCTTATTTGGTTTAAAAACATGTGTCATGCTAGAAAGCCGTGCCTTTAAACTGGGCACTACTGATACTCTGTCTTCTTCTTTGCTGTTGAGTGAGAGCCAGCCGATAGCTGACTCTCCATTGGCTTGCTCAGGATACCACACAGGAGGAGTAGGCTTGATTTCACCTGAGGAGTTGCTAATGGATTTGAACTGTCAGAGAGGTGTTGCCTTGGGCTAAGCAGGACAACTCCTTACATACCATGCTACTAGAGCTCCCCTAAGAACTCCAGAGGAAGCAAAGTGGCTAGCAATGCTTGCCACAAGTAAGCATTAGCCATTTAAAGACTCCTTTTGTAAACAAATTTTTTATTGTAATTTTAATGAAAGTTTATAGGAAAGTTAGATTTTCATTAATTCATTGTGGCCCATTTTACCCCCTCTCCCAGTTCATTTTTTTTTAAATATTCATTCATTCTTGCACAATTATCACCACCTCTCCCCCACCCCAGTACTCTCTGCAATGTACCTCTTATTTTGGGCTCTTGTTGTATATATAATGCCTAATCATACATTCCTTTTGAACAGTACTTTCCTTCATCTGTTCCAATACAATGTTCATTATCTATCCACTCTTCTTCTATTCTCCTCCCAACTCCCCCATGTAAGACCTGCTTTATAATAGTTACTGTTGGTTCTCCAGCCAACCATTTTCTTTTTAAATTAATGCCAGTGAACATTTGCAGAGATTTCGGATTTCCATTCATTCATTGCTGCACTGTTTCCCCACCGCCCCACCCCCAGTTTGCCCTTCTCCTTGAAAAGCAAAAGAAAAACTCCTTCATTGGTATACAACCCCCTTCCCCCACCCTGTATCCCCCATGCCCACCTGAGTAAACTCCATTCTGCAACCCTCATTCCGAACTCTTATGATATGGTTGAAGGTGCTAAGGAGAAGCATCTCCCTGGTTACTAGTCACCTAACAGCCTGCCTATTGTTTGGCTAAAAGTTGAGTCACTGGTGACTTCTGTTCCAGACTGGGTTTTACTAAGGGCCATACCATAGCCTCAAGCTCCAAAAATCTCAGGCCAGTGAACCTGGCACTTTTTAAAAAAATTTAATTTCTTATTGGCTTGTTTATAAAGTTTGTATACATTCTATTTCACACTATTCTTCATTCACGTTGTGTTTCATACAATAATTCCCATGCATTATATTTTATAAAATTAATCCTCATTGGACTACGGCCATTATTACCTTATCTTTTCAAGTCCCTGCTGGGTTTTTCCAATTTCCTTTACCCCCCTCCTCCACCCACCACATTGGGCTACCCTGTGAATTTCACCCCACCCATCCTCACATGTTCATGCTTACTAGTTATCCTTCTATTTTTACAATAATGTCTTATACAGTATTTGTCCTATGAGACTATGCGAGTCTTATGTAATGTTTTTAGAAACTGTTGCTCCCTAGTGCTGCGTAGTATTCCAAACCCATTCTGACAGGACCTTCTAATCCCTTTTAGAGTCATCAGTAGTGGCAGATGGGCACCATCAAGTTCTGCTGCTAAGGAAATCACTTTTAACTGATTTAGTTTTTAGTTCTTTTGGGGGTTAATTCTCATTTCTCATGACCGCAGAGTTGGAATCTTGCATAGCTGAGCCTCCAGCAGGTTTTTGAGGTTGTAAATAGCATCAAAGGTGACTGCTCATCTTTTCCCCACGGATAGGTGGTGGTTGTTGTTGTTAAGTGCCATGAACGCTATGAACTAAAGATCTGAACACATGTATAACTTTCGTCCTTTTTCCAGATTCATAGGGTTTCTGAAGACAAGCTATTTTAGAAGTGGATGCCACTCCTGCTTCCAAACTTGTTTTAATCAGGGAGACCCACCAAACCCTGTCCACCATGAGTGACTATTACTACATTTGATACATCAGTGTCACCATGTTCAGCATCACAGAAACCATGAGTTACCTCTGTACAGCAATGCACAGACCAGGGCTATAGGACCTAGAAGAATGTTTGAACAAAAACAATTAAACAAAGGCCAGAGAGCCCTAGCGAATTTAAGAACCTGAGCATGGTTCAAACTCCATGAGTTTCCTCATTCCAAATTCCTCCATAATCATGCATTTTCATTGACTCTCAACCACCCCAAAGCACCCATCAGGGTGCTGATTCTTCAATCTCCTAATCTGATGCCACATGTTTCTTCATAGAGTCTTACCTCTTTAATGATTTATCCACCTTACAGACCGAGTACACATGAAGGAAGGAACATATATAAACAAAAAATGAACAAAGGCCTTAAGCCTTTCTATAACTATCATCATTTCTCCAAGTTTTTAGACTTTCCATAGGCATGTAGTTTAGGAAGTGGATACCAGCCTGCTTCCAAACCTGAATCAATCTGGGAGCTCCAACAAAAGCTGCTCATGATAGGTAGCCAATATGGTGTTATGGCTCAGTTTTCCATCATTGCAGCAACTCTATGTTATTTCAGTAAAGCAAATAGAGAAAAAATAGAAAAAAACCCAAAACACCCAATCACACAATCCACACAGATCCTCAGCCAAAACAAGAGCGCCATTGTACAGAGTTCACCATTTCGCCTAACTCCAAAATGGAGACAAGGGCCAGGCTTTATATGTTGCTGTTATTGTCGTTAAGGCCTGTTCAGGCCTGTTTTTAATTGTTTTTATTAAAACATTCTTCTAAGTGGTACAGCACTGGTTGCTGCATTGCTGTACAAGAGGTAACTCATGGTTGCTGTGATGCTAAACACTGTGACACTGATATGCCAAAGTTACTGACAGTGGACAGTGTTTGGTGGAGCTTCCCAATTAAAATAAGCTTGGAAGCAGGTGTGGCATCCACTTCTGAAATGGCTTGCCTCCAGAAACTCTATGAACATGGAGAAATGACCAAAGTTATATAAGCGTTCAGGTCTTTCATTCATAGGGTCGCTTAATAGTAACATATCAGGATATGAGGGAGGTGTGGATATGAGCTGGAATTCACCCAGAAGAACCAAGGCAGATCTTACATATTTACACAATTCTTGTATTGCTATACAATATTTTTTGCATTGTACAATATCTTGTATTGCTATACAATATATTTGCTAATGCCTCCTCCTCCTAAGTCAAGCATAAGGTTTTCAATAGAAGAGCTTAGCTTCATTTGCATAGAATTATCTTTGTGATTTGCTCCCAGGTAATTTTCAATAAAAGCACAGGGAAACTGGTTTCGGTGCTTCAGTTGTTTGAACTGTTCGCCTCCTGCTTTATCGCTATTTACTTATACATTCTTAGTGTTCTATCTCTATACTTTACTCTGGTTGACAACATTTCTCCTTACCAACTAGGCCACTAGAACTCCCTACTAGGAGGTAAGGGTATAAACAAAAGTCAACACAAACATAATCAGTATATTACCTAAGGCTAAGTTTCCTCCAAGAACCATTCACCAAGGGTCTGAAGAATAAGGTAAGGCACAATGCAAAAATGATAAATCTGAGTTGGGGAAAAAGCAGCAAAGCTACCAGGGAGAAAAAGAGGGGAAGTTACAAGGAAGTACTAGTGACTTTTAATGTGCAGGAGAGAAAGTGTGAAGGAAAAGGTAAACACTATATATAAGTATGGCCTGGTTAAAGGGGAAAATCAGAGGCTAGGACATCACCAGGTAGACTGAAAGTGGCTGATCATAAGCAAGGAGGGAGGCTGGGGGGGGGGGCGGGATTTCATTCCTAAATTCACTTTATTTATTCGTTGTTGTTAAGCTACTATGACTCAGTGACCCTATGAACAACAGATCTGAACCTTGTGACCCTCAAGCTCTGTCTTGTTCATGCCCAACATGGTAGTCATGGTATCAGTTAATCTCACTGAGGGTCTTTCTTTCTGCCGACCTTTCTCTGCCTCTTTCCAAGGACAGCTTCCTCCTTAAAACAGGCTCACAGTCAGGGAGAGCAAATTTCACCATCCTTACTTCAAAGAGCACTTCTTTGGGGGGAGGGGTAGGCAGGGAGAAAAATGCAAAAATGAATGAATAGAAATCCAAAATCTCTGTAAATGTTCACTAAAATTAATAAAATAAAGAAAAAAAATAAAAAAGATAACTTTTTTAAATTTTATTAAATTTTATTAGTTTTAATGAACATTTACAGGGATTTTGGGTTTTCATTCCTTCTTTGCTGCACCATTCTCTCTACCCTCCTCCCCAGTTTGTTCTTCTTCCCCGCCATCCGAGTGTCTGTTTTAATTGTCCAATTGCCACAGTGCTTGTAAAAGATCACTTCTTGGTTGCATTTCAAGACAGATTTGTTTGTTCTTTTGCCACTCCATGGTATAGTCAATGCTCTTATCAATACCACAATTTAAAGGCATCAATTCCAATGTTCATAGCAGTATTATTCATCACAAAAATGTAAACAGACCTAATGTTCAACGATAGCCGAACGGAATGAGAAATTGTGGCACATTCACATGATGGAATACTATGCAACACTCAGGAGCAATGATTTTAAAAATTACTATATAACTTGGGAGGGACTGGGTAACTCAGGCTCATAAGAACAAATACTGGATAAGACTATTATTGTAGAAATAGAATGATAACTAGTAAAACGTGAATAAGAATTCAAGGTGGGGGCAGTGGGAGCAACATGAAGATGGGTGGGGGAAATGACTGGGTAGCACAATTTGGTAGGTTGAGGGGGATGGTAAAGGAAATGGAAAGACTTGGCAGGATTCTGAAAAGTCACAGTAATGGTGGG